AAAATTTCTGTCACCTATCATCCGAAGGGCACTCGTGCGGTTTTGATCATGACTTTGCTCGGAGACCTCTTTGATCTTGACCTTAGTCCAGTGTCAAGGTCACTTATACGTTTTTTACCCTATTTATTTTTTTATTTGGAGCATCGACAGTTTGTTTTGGATAGTTTCAACTTATTTCAGAAGTTGATATATATTTTTTGCTAGTTTTGTTTTCTAATTTTTAATAATGCTATTTTTTAATTTTCAATTCGATCTATTTTCCGCGGTCTCTTAGCAATCAAAATATGTAGTAAGCAAGAATCACGACGACATTGAAGTTTTTGTTGAATTTTTTGAAATCGCACCATAAAATAGTACTAAGTTTGTTTTTTAATGGCAATTTCTTGGTGACTGACATACGTTGGTTTGTAAATAGCTGTCGTAAATCACGACGTTTTTATATTTTTTTAAAAATTCATTTGTGCGCACTTAAAAAATGCTGTCAAAAATGTTTCTAAAGGTCACTTACCTCCACTAATTCTGTTTAGGTACCTTTACTAATTCGCAATAACTACATCAGGTTTGAAATGAATTTAAAAAAATAAATATTTCTTGAAACTTTTTTATTTTAGTTTTAATTTCAAGTTAATTAAATTTAATTAAGATAATAATACTTTGCAATTCACTTGGATTTTTTTTTAAATTGTTTTCTTTTAAAGATAAAAATACATTTTTTTTTTTTTTTTTTTTTTTTTAAACTTAAAATTTGATGCGTGCTTTTGTTCAGTGTTGTAACCCAGTAACAATCTGTTTTGAATGCAGGTTTTCAAAACAAGATGTCATGCCTAACTTAATAAACTGGCGCAACAGGTTTTTTCTGCTCTAAAATAATTGTCCTTATACCCTACCGTAAACATTTTTTTTAGCATTAGTAAAAAATTAAGAATAATAACGGTAATAATTTGCAACATTAAATTAAAAAGAAAAAAAAGAAAAAAAACTTTTTTTTTTTTTTTTTCTAGATTAATTCAAAATAACATCAAAAAGAAAAGCGAGAAAAAACGAATTTTAAAATAGCGGAAAAAAATGAAATGTCTTTTGGAAGTTTTGGTTTTATTTGAAAGACAAAGTCAAAATAAATTTAAAAAAAAAACAGTGCTTATCCGTATTAAAAGAAAAATTAATTTTCATATGACAATATTTTTTTTTTTTTTTTTTTTTTTTTTTAGGCTTATACAAAAAAAAAAAAAACATTCATTTGTCACTCCTCAAATTGCTGCATGAGAAGAAAAATGTAAACTAATTTTTAAAAACATTTAAAAATTTGAAAATCTAATCAGAGATATGTTTCACAAAGCTACTTAGTAAATTTAAGGACTAACTGGATTTTGTAGCAAAAGTAATGTTTATTATACGCACTATTGTCCTCCTCTTTATCAACATTTCGACCAGTGTGCCCTCTGACCTTCATCAGGTGTCTTTCCTCTTAATAATAACAAAAGTGATGAAACTTTATTTTTATTGTATTTGGGACATCATGCTATGCTGTTTTTTATGTGACCAAGTGGCAGTTCCTACATTTGTAAGACAATATCAGGTCATCCCATAAGTTCTGTCCAAATTTTAACTTTTTGTTAAAATGAACAAAATTTAAAGAGTATTTTATAATGTCTAATGGAGCTGAACATTATTTTTCTGGGTTTCACACTTTCGCAATCATCATACAAACTCCTGATTATCACAAAAGCGTGAAACCCAGGGTCACACTCGTATCCATACAACTGAATATGTTAGCTCTGTTACTGATATTGAGCACTTTCCAATAAGTACTGCGCATATAAAATATATATTTAATAGGCCAATTAATGAAATTTAAGACTAAGCAACAAAAATGATATTGTTAATAAGACTAATTATATTTATTTTATTAGTAAGCCTTTTGACTCTATGGAAACATACTGAGAAAGATTTTTAAAGTCAGAATTTTCAGATACTCTTGTGTCCTTTATCAATGAGATAAGTAAACAATAAAGTGGTACTCTCTTTTCCAGAAATTTGTTTGTTTACACACAATTTTTTTATATATATATATATATATAATTAGTGTGTTCAGTAAGGTCTGAAATTTCTCAAATCCACTTTCTGATGTCTTTTATACATTATAGACATTTGAAAGTCTGGACATATGTGTCCTATTTTATTTACATTTGCACTGATGGATTTTGCCATCTATCAACAATTAAACCTTTTAGATTGCAATGAGTATTGACAGCAGGTAGTGTAAGTTTAAAGCTCCAAGTTCTCCACAGAGAATTGTCCCATAGGACAGTAACCTAGTGGATTAGTGTTTTGTGAGTTCAATCCCAGAGCCAGGCAGAGTCTCCTTTGACTTAGTGGAAACAGGGCGGGCAATAACTGAGCAGTACTAAAAATAAAAACTAAATGAGATAACTCAAACATTTTCAGTAGAATGAGAACAATCTATTCCTGTAAATTAAATAAAGGGTTTAGTTCAGAATTCCCTGTAGGTCACTCGGACTGACATAAATCATGACAGCCATAGATGAGGATGATAGTCCGCATGCAAATAGTGTTAATGATAAGATCTCATCCAAGAAATTCAAAAAGAAAGTCCAATAGAACCTCAGTTTAATGTACTAGTAGTGGGGAAGGTCTTCTGTTAAAGTCATTTGTCTATTAACTTGAAGCAATTTTTTTGTAGCCTAAAAACACCCAGAACAGTACAAAATTATTGTAAATAAATGTAAATACAGTATATATCTGTTGTATAAGAGTAAGTGTCATTGCCGACACTGTGGTTTGAAACTAGATCATCAGTAAATAACATAGATGATTCTATTAAGTAGATCATGTGATCATAAAGGAAGTGAATAAATAGGAAGTAGCGTGATAACTATACGATCACTCATCACTCTTCTTGTCTGTCGACTATTGCCATACATTCACTCTCTCTACTCTGCTACTATATGGAATGGAGTACAATTCTCTTCTGATCATTATACTATTTGGCGATTACTATTTGAACAAGTATTACTAGTCTGGATATTATTGGAAGGTGTTACTACTAGTACTGGTGTCTACAAAATCTCAAATATAACAAACATTTTGGAAGTGATAACAAGCTTTTGCTTGACATAGCAAAATTGACAAGCAAGGCCATCCAACATCACAAAAATATGTATGTGTATTTTATTTTTCAGTCACTATATACCTTTTAAATAAAATTTGAGAAGTTAAATCCGGAGTCTGTTGGTTCCGGAGCTGTTAATTTGAGGCTTTATTTTATTTAAATATAAGAATAACCTGAAGTGGCTGATAAGGTGAGATACTAATGTTCACACAATACAAGGCTCAAGAACCACTCAAGGTAGAGAATTGTGTGAGCATAAAAAAAAAAGGCCCACTATGCAGTTCATGAGGTTATGTAGGAAAGATAATGGTTAACTCTAGACTTGAAGAGGTCAAGATTATAGTGATTGGGAGTCTGTTCCACAAAGCAACAGTTCTTGGAAAGCGCTGTCCAAGTGGAACTTCCTACTTACTAATGGAATACAAAGGGAATGCAGATGATTCGTCCTTGTGCATGTCATATAGCGAGTCCCAGAGTGCAAATGTCACAGCTGGTGGAACCAAAAAATGTAGATCGGAATACTTACTGTGGAAATATCATTAGAAATAGTAAGTACTAAGAGGCTTGCAATGGTTTGTCTGTGGGAAAGGGGTCATAGGGTGGAAAATAATTCATCACCCAGATGTGTGTGGACTGGGCAACTCCAGCTCAGAAATAGTAGGATTTTATCATTACTAGGCTGATCTGGCTCTTATAGTTAGGATAAATGATTTATTTCATTATCTTGTTATAATTCTGTTCCTCCCTTTCTTACTTAGATTGCATGACCATGACTGCTACACCCTGTCAAAACCCCATAAATAATAGACTATTCTATTTGATCACAAAAATTAGTTTCAATGAGATGATGAAAGAAACACCCTCGCAAACACCTGTCCTGTTTTGAGTGTGAGTAAATACGAAAAAGACATATCAGAGACACTGTTTAATTTCAGTGAGAAAAAAATGAAAATGAAACAAATTTCAAACAAGCCATGAAAGTTTTAATTTTTTTTTTTTTAATTAATACATGCGCACATTAAATATATCATATGCATTTTAAAAGAAACTGTCTCCTGTGTCAAATGGAATTTTACTTAATGTTTAATTATTCATCATTATGCCTCTTAATTCCTTGGGGAACATAGGGCCACAACAACACCTCTGCCACCCCCAACAAACACAGTTCTGTGCAATCCTCTTCAGCTCGGCCCATGTTGTGCTGACTGCCTTCCTGGGGGATTTTTACCAGTATGTGTCATACATTCCACTTTGGAGGACTCTTCCTCAGCCATGTCGCTATTTGAAGATATCATTGAGGTTTCTGCAACAAGCCTCTTTTTTTTTTTCTTTTTTTTTCTTTTTTTTTCTTTTTTTTTTTTAAAGTAGGTTGTTAGCCTACTAAACAATCCCCAACCTGGAGGACCAGGATGTGTCTTTCATCTGGCTCCTACCCCACAGACCTGTTGAGTTTGGTTAGACCTGCTAAGGGTAGAATCACCCACCAACATAGCTAGGGGGTCATTGAAGCACACAAGTTGTCCTACAATATCAAGGAGACACACCAACAGGATGGTTAATTAATGTGGGCTGTTTATTTTGTGTAAGAAGTTTCTAATGTTTTGAGTATTTCCTTGCATTGGGTGCTGTCGAGTATTTTGATATTATCTGCTACTCTTTTTAATTAAACTTAGATATTCTCTGCCCACTTAGACAATTTGGAACATTTCATCTTATTGAAATTTATATTCAATTTTGAGAGTAAAATGTTTTTTATTATTGTTTGTCAGATCTTTTAATTTTTAAAAACATTTTAATCTTCCTCTAATCTGTTATTAAAAGATTTAAGCCTTAATATTACTTTTTTTTTTTTTTTTTTTTTTACCTCTAGGAAATGCCAAAACAAGGCAAGAAAGTAACGCCCACGCTAATTTTTAGCGTATTTATAGCTGTATTTGGGAACTCTTTGCTCTATGGCTATAATATAGGTGTGATTAATACACCTGCAAAGGTAAGTAATTCTTTTTTTTTTTTTTTTTTTTCTTTCAATACCAACTTTTTTACTTTTTATTACATTTTCACATGTGAGTCTTTAAAAGTGTTTCCAATTATTTTTATATAAATTTCTTTCACATAGTTTGTCTTCATATCCAAAGAAGAATCGGCAACAATATCAGTCCTGACCTCACATCTAGCTTTCAATCACTTCCTCACCACCATAACATAGCTTCCTTTTGCCTTTTTTATTAATATTAATTTTTATTAATGATGAGCTTCTCTCTTCAGTACTTCACAGATTTGTAGGAAATTCACTCCGCCATCTTTTGTTTTTTTTTTTTTTATATTAAAAATCTGAACATCTATATTCCAAACATTAATAAAATAAAAAATAAAAAAAAACATAAGTATGCCTGTTGAATAAATCATTTGTATTTACAAGCATGCATATATATATATATATATATATATATATATATATATATAAATTCAGTAGTCAAAAAGTAGGTGTAAATAGTCTTTAGTTGAGTTAGTCTTTGGGTAGTTAGTCCGCAGAAAATTGTGGTTTAGAAAAGACTTTGATCATCAGTGAAGATTCACTGACAGTCCAAACTGTTGTTGGATATGATTTGTTTGAAGTCGTCTAAGTATATTTATTTCAGCATACTCTGGGGAGAGGGGCCAAAAGCTATGTAGCCATATCTTCTCTTGTGTTTAAACAGCTTGGCGAGGCAGTTGCATCTCTACTCTTTGACATTCAAAATCTGTGAATAATTTTTCATACATGTTGGCTCAAGAAAAATAGGGTTTTAGTTTTCTTTGATTGGACAAATATTTCAAGTAGTGATGATCATTGCTAACCAATAGACACTTTTAATTAAACAGCATGTTGCATTGCGAAATCTTTTTGGCATGTTTGTAATATTGTTTGTTATTAGGTAGAAAATAATAAGTTTGGGCATGTTTCAATATGGTATGTATGTGGGTACATAATAGGGTGTGTCTTAATATGGTATGTATGTGGGTATATAATTGTGTTAGAAATAGGATTGATTTCCTATAAATTTAAGTGCAGTACAAGATTGGCAGCCATTCCCATCATTTCACTGTTGTAACCATAAGTTCTAAGATGTCTTTTTGGCTTCCTGCTAACAAATATAGAAATTAATGATATAAATGGCGAGAATACATCTTCACAAACAAATTTAATAAAGTACATTAATCTGGAACCTTTAGATGAATGTTATGATCCCTGTTTATAAATTCCAGTTGCATAAATAGATATCTATTTCCATACCTGATGATGTCTGAATGCACGGATGAAAGCTTGTAAAAAAAAAAAAAAACCTTATGCAACTGGAATTTATAAACCGGGATCATAACATTCCTCTACAGGTTCGGGGTTAATGTACTTTATTAAATTTATTTGCAAAGATGTATTGTCGCCATTTATATCATTAACTTCTATATCTGTTTTTTGTATGAATGATTCATGTAATATATATATATATATATATATATATATATCAGGTGTAACAGCAAAATTGTCCAAATCATGTCACAGCATAATTATCCATACCACAAAATGTTTAATATCTAAAAAAACCTAGAAAGAGAAAAACTTTGTGTCAGCCTCACTGTCTTTTCAACTGAGCAATGGTGAGAGGAAAAAGATCATTCAGGCCTTCAGTGATAGTACCAACATTCATAATCTGTCTTCCATCTTCAAAGTCCATTCAAAAAACATCAAGAGAACGGTGAATAAGTTTTAAATAGAGGAAACCAGTAGAGAGGAAAACTGGATCAGGAGGTCACAACAGGAAGAGGAATCATCTTTGCAATCTGCACTATTATTGGTCCTCACCTGTCATCTCAGCTGCAGTCACTTTTCTCACAGCCATGACATATCTACCTTCTATAAATATTTTCTCTGTAATTGTTTTCATGAACTTTCCACCTCGGTACTTTGAATTCAAAAATTAAGCACAGAACAAAGCAGGTCCCCTAACTCCATTGTTTAAATCGTTGACTATAACTGTAAGTTAATAGTTTCTTCTCTCACACATCTCACTGATGGGAGACTCTACTGGCTTCCTGCTTTCCTATTAACTAAGATCTTCAAAAATTTAAATTTCCTGTCTCCTTGAATTCTGTTCTTTTTTTGTCCTTTGCATGTTAGTGGCTTTATTGCCTTATTTGGGATAAAATGATAAAAAGAAAACAAGGTAGTAGTCCAGACCACCATTGTCGTAAAGATATTGCTACTTCATGTCATCAATCAAAGGGGAGATAACTCTGTAACAAAGTTAGACATCAGACAAAAAAAATAACTAAAACCAGCTATAACAATAGAGAGGGGATCAAACACAAAGGTACAATAACAATTAAGTGGGTCATGTACCCAAAGCTACTCTATGTAATAAATAATAGAAGGGCAATTGGCACTAAATGTAACGGGCATAGTCTGGGTATATGATAAAGTATTGGTGCCTCTCTTATTTCTTACATAGCTGACTTGGCAAACTTTAACCTTCGTGCCCACAATAAAACAATGTGTCAAAAGGATGGTTTTCCCTTGATGCCACTATTATTTTGTACTAACTTCACTCCCCACCCCAGCAATGTTTATTTACCAGATTATAAAATTATGTGGACCAAGTACAATGCGATATTTACTATTTTATAAAGAAGTAAATCCTGAAAAGCATAGACCTGAATACAACATGGGAACTCGTAATTCAGAGAGCTAGAGAAAAGCAATAACAAAAAATTATATGAACTCTGGTTTTCTTTCCTCTTTTCTTTTCTTTCCTCTTTTCTTTTCTTTCCTCTTTTCTTTTCTTTCCTCTTTTTTTTTTTTTTTTTTTTTTTTTTTTTTTTTTAAAAAGAGACATTAGGTTTCATTGTAATGGCCCAGTGGATAAAATCTTTAGTTTTTTTCTTTTTATATGCCGTCCCCTTTCAGGACATAGGTGATCATGGCTCTCCACTTCCCCCTATCCCTTGTAGCTCTCAATAAGTTTTGTCCTTCTACCACCTCTCCCAGACCACATTCTGTCATCCACTTGCTTAAGCCTGCCAGGTATATTATGTGTTACTTTTCCTTGTCACTCTTTCCCTATATTCGACCTGTGGGTATCAGATTCTCCATGCCCTCTTTTTTTATGTGTCCCAGAAACTTCAGCTGCCTCTTCTGATGTTAAGTATAAGCCTCTTCCTTGTTTGCATCCTCTCGATGCTTACATCCTCAGTCCATGATATACTCAGCATCCTTCTGTAGAACCACATCTCCATCACCTCGAGTCTCTTCATCTTTGAGGAGATTGTCCAACATTTGTTGCCATAAAGGAGGACAGACGTCACATAACAGCTCAGTACTCATTTCTTTGTTACCAAAGACAAATTTAGTTCCCAAACAACACCAGGTAGTATCTTAAAATAAGTCAAATTTCATCTATAATAATAAAATAATATTTTACTGCATATACTCATGTATTATGCAACCTTTGAAGACCTAATTTTGAAGCTAATTTGACTGCAGTCAATGGATAATTTTGTATATTCTGCCAGTGATCAGCTAACATCTGAATCTGTCCCAGATACCAGCTCCCTGGCTTTGTATCCAAAAACTCTATTATGGTCAAGAAATGGGGGTATGAGTTTAATACTAATGAACAATGTAAAATGAATTTAATGTGGCCAACAAATGGGGGATGAATTTAATACTAAAAAACAATACAAAACTGATCCCTCACTTTCTATCAGCCTTTTTATTCAGTTTCCTATAAGATTATTTTTGGTATTTCATCTATGAAACTACTATGGTCAAGAAATGGGGGATGAGTTTGATACTTATGAATAATGCAAAACTGATCTCTCATTTTCTATCATAATTTTATCTGATTACCTGTAAGGGTATTTTGGAATTTTATTTATGAATCTTACTGTGGCCAAGAAATGGGGGCTGAGTTTAAAACTAAAGAACAATACAAAACTGATCCCCCACATTTTACCATTGTTTCCTTTGATTATAAGGATTCTTTTAGTTACCATATATACTGGTGTATCATGTGACTTTCAAAGACTTAATTTTGAAGCTAATATGACTATAGTAAATGTTATATGCAGTTTGGTCAACAGCATAGCCAGGACCATCAGTACATATTCTAATTTTCTCATGTATGATGTGACCCTCTTAAAATTAGCTTCAAAATTACATCTTCAAAAGTTGCTTGATACACAAGTATATATGGTAATTTAAGTAGGGGTAAACAAATGAATTATAATACAAATAAAAATGTCAAAATTACTATTTAACTATTCTACTGGAATCAACAATAACAACAAACGACGGTTTCCTCGACAAAGGAGAAGGCAGGATTTCCTGAAAGTGCATGCCAATGGACATATAATACACATTGTTTAATATTAGGTTGGCCAGAAAGTCCTGACTCACTTAGGAAGCGGAAAGAAAACAACCAAATTTTATGGAGCAACTCCAATATTTATTTATTCAATATAAAGCCCATCATTCTCGACGACCCTCTGCCAGTGATCAGCCAACATCTGAATCTGTCCCAGATACCAGCTCCCTGGCTTTGGATAAAAAAAAAAAACTCTATTATGGAAATGAGAGATGAGTTTAATACTAATGAACAATGCAAAATAAATCTACTGTGGCCAACAAATGGTGGATTAATTTAATACTAAAAAACAATGCAAAACTGATCCCTCACTTTCTATCAGTATTTTATTTGATTACCTTTAATGGTATTTCAGAATTTTATTTATGAATCTACTATGGCCAAGAAATGGGGGATGAGTGTGATACTTATGAATAATGCAAAACAGATCTCTCATTTTCTATCATTTTATCTGATTACCTATAAGGGTATTTTGGAATTTCATTTATGAATCTACTGTGGCCAAGAAATGGGGGCTGAGTTTATAACTAAAGAACAATACAAAACTGATCCCCCACTTTTCACCATTGCTTCCTTTGATTATAAGGAT